AGACGATTGGTTACGGGTTGGCTGTCTTTACAGTCATCGTCCTGAGAAAGGCAGGGCCCGGTCTATAGTGCACTCAATAGGCTCCGTTTTCACAGTTACATTGTGGATCGTGCACTTTCCTACGATGAATGGCATGAGTCCGTGAATCTAGGTGGAACTCATGGAAGAGAACGGAGCCCATTTTTCAAAATTTCGAGACAAGGATGGATCCACTTCTAACCTCAAAGTCACACGGGTACCGCTAACTGTAGTGAGATCGATTATTAATGTTGACGGTACCATTTGGATGTGACATCCTCAACGGGTTAGAGCAATTTCAATGGGGGGGGGCATATTTTGGTTGCCGAAACCCGGTACAGGATGCCGCATTCAAATGAGCGCTAGATCGATCAACAGCAACCTTTCACAAAGCCGAAGTGAGACCTCTAGTTGACCGATTGGTTGATGAATTTCATTTGTTGACGAGGTCGAAGGCATCTTCGGGACCATTCTACAAATAATGGGCCGACATGGTCATGAGATGGCTGCCCTCAGTTCTGCATGGACAGCTCGATACAGAAAACTACTGCTTCACTCAGAGTTTTCCAGTCATGAAAAGCTGCCAGAAGGCTCTGGAGAAGCACTGAAAATGACCCTGGAATGCTTCGAGCAAATGTTCATCAACAATGGCTGGCGCGTAGGCAAGTAGGCCCTGTTATGATTGACCCCGTGCAAGCAACCCCTGTTCTCGTTGACGACCATGGTCCAACGCCTAATAGGTCACAATCGATGTTGTTACCTCAACTTTTCTTTGCAAGCTAGCTCATAGCGTTTAGATGGATTCCTCTGTAAACGCACCACGCAGCATAGAATCTCAACCCCTCTTCCATGGATAAGGAACGTTCATGGCGTCATGGAGTTGAAATGCAACTGCACCACCTACCAAGAAGCCGGTTAATTGCAGCCTACATCTCATTTCTTTGGCTTGTTCCGTGTTTTCCAGTTTTCTGGAATCTTACCACGATCCATCCAAAGTAACCGGCCTTAGCATGCAATAAAATTCCTTCCTCTGCATCTACTCATAGATGAATCGTATCTCAGACCAGTTTGCTGGGACAAATCATCAAGTGAGAAAATGTAGACTGATAGCGAGTCCAGTGGCTGGCAAAACAACGTCTGCGAAACGCCTTCACATAGAAACACGGCAACCAACATAACAGCCGAATTATGTCTACGCTCTGCAATGGAGTCTTGCGCTGAAAATATGCTGCCGCGTGGGCGCCCGCTTGGTCCACCTGTTCCGAATCGTATCCCATGCTAGTTGTGCTTCGCAAACCTCTCAATAAGAGAATGCAAGATGATTAATAAGTTTAATGTTTGGCAAAAAATCATTATGAAGCATAAAAGTCCTACCCTCGGCCTTTCGGGCACTAACGACCGCATCACCACTGAGCTACAGTTGCACGACGACAGCCACTTAGCAGTTACGAACATTCCAGCAGGGACTTCCAAGATGTCCCAGCAACTTCGATGACAGTTTCCACTACAGAAGGGATTCGATAAAACTGATAACTGAAACATGGAACCAGTGGGCGCGTGTATGAACACATTACCAAAAAAACCAGAGTCGTACTGAAAGCAAAGAACAGGAGTTGAATTTGACTGTGGGGTTCGAAACATGACCCCTAACGGTCGAATCCTATTCAATGTGGCGTGCGCTACCGCCGCTGCTGTTCTGTTTAGCCTTCCATGGCATGATGTGATCCAGACGTCTGTGAGCAAAACTTTAGTTTCACTCTAGAGCGTGAACTACTGTGGGAAGAAATGTGCGGGCAAAAATTAATTTCAGTGTGACAAATCCTCTTAGAAGGGTAGAGCTCTTTATTCAGGCAAAACAAATGTGTATACAGAAACATATGCGCACCAAGAAAACACAATGTCACTAACAAAAAAAAACGATATATAAACAGTTCAACAATGTATTTTTCGATTCCTTTCTTGGGTTTTTCCGTCAAAAAGGCTGTTTCAACTTTGTTCGCAAACGCTGTCTCGAACATTCCCCCTACCAATAATAAAGGAAAGCGCTGTACATTGCGCCATCTTAGCCTTGAGAATTTTTTAGCTAACCAGTCTATTTCGCCAACCCTACCATCCCTGGTCGCACCATTCACCACCGCAAGCCCCCTCCCCTTCCAACCACGCCCCTTTTCCAGGGCTTAGTAATGTTCCAAAGTTTATTCTTTAGTTTCCGCTTCTGTAACTTTTGCTATTTCTCAGATATACCCTAAGTGGAAAGACTCGATATGTCGACACTTGGGCTACTCCACCCACTTTCTGAAGGAGCTGACGCTAACTTGGGATTTTTACTAACTTTGACTTCCAATCAGGGAATAAGTTGTTCAGTTTTAACGAACTCTATGACTTCAATCGCTTCCACGCACTTAAAGAGAAATGTCTCCAAATGTTTGGATAACCATGGAAAGGGCAGAAGTAAAACTGAAGAACCAAAATAGATCTATCTGAGAATGCGTAGGCCCCGTAAACGGCACGGACCACGTATTCTTGAATAGCAAATACTCGTAGCGCGTTACGTTATACGACCCTGAACTTCAGCGCAGTGAAGCCGTTACAACGCAGCGTCACGAAGCCGTATACAATAAAACGGCACGCAAAGCTTAGAATCAGCTCAATATTTCGACGTTCGGTAATGACTCACGGCCTTCTTTCGCGTTTCGTTCTAGCAGGGCCTACGATCAGTCATCACCGTGCGGAGCGTTCCAGCGTAAAGTAAGATGTAAAAACTGGTGAGGCAGAATTGTTTAACAGGCTTTGGACATATGCGCTGGGCAGAAACTTTCGCACGAATCCTCGGCTTCGGACACTTAGGTACAAGCGCGCGTGTATAAATAAAAGGGAAAAGATTCGAAGCAGTGTGTGATAGCTTTCCTCTGTCCCTCGAAGGGTCGATGCCTCTATAAACGGCAGATATGAGTTGAAGCATACGAAGTAGGATAATTTCCTCTATTAAGAGTTAGGCTAGTTCACGGGGACGTACCGCCCACCGCCGAGACCTCTAGAGACCCACGTAGGGGTACAACGATTACAGTGGAAGCTTAAATTCGACGCGCCTGTTCCTGTCGACTATAATACTCGGTGTGCGCGAAACACCGTGTCGCGTGCCATGTCAGCTAGAGCGTGGTGCTCTATCGTCGCCCCCTGAATGGCCTTTGCTGTAGTATTTCAATGCTCTTCCCCGTCGAGATGTGTTTCTTCGTCGTAACTTGAAAGCTTAATCTAAGAGGATTGTTCAGAGGAGTTAATATGATGGATAATGGAAATTCCTCTCACTATCTCCAGGCTGAATATCTGTTCGCTGCCAAGCTCCTACAAATGTGCTGTGTAAAACAACACGTTTTAGGAGAGTGGGTCGGCATGAATCGGAAGCACGACTACGCATGGCATCGAGGATCACCGTGTTTACATGAAGCAAAGCCCTCCAGTTGGCTGGACATATTTCCCTGCCAAGGTAAGGAACTCTCTAATGTGTCACGGCGCAGTGATGTAACACCAGCTTTAACAAATACGGGTTTGTATAGCATACAAATAATGATCATTGGGCGCTAGTTTGGTCCTCATGATCCACTGACCGAAAGATCATTGGAAAATTGGCGGAGACACAATAAAGTATTGACACGCGATTCGGGGGACGTTATCAGGGCAGGGCCTGATTAGGCCTACCGCCGCCAGTCCTCTCTACTACTAATTGTTCCCGTACCTGCGTGAAAAAAAACGAACCTGCTACATAAAGTAGTAGCAGGAAATCCAATTTGCATTTAAATATTAAGATAGGAGATCTTTCGGAAAAAAAGTATAGGTGCTCTAGTCAGGAAAGAACCAGATTGCGTTCAGACTTTGCGATTACGCGCGTTGATGCACTAATAGCGCTCTAACGATGTAGACTGTTACACAGCCATAGACAGGTATCGATCGGCTTCGGCTACTAGTGTAGAGAGACTATAGGAGAACAGGAGCGGATCAGACCATGCGACTGGGCAGCGCAAAGCATCCTGTTCTCCTATAGACTCCAAAGGCCAGCGTATGGTGCCGACCGATACGGCAACGTTCCCGTCTACAGTGCTATTGCAATGGCAACGCGTCGACGCACACAACCGCCCAGTCAGAACGCAACTGTATGTTTTCGCATTCACCTTTTCATTTCATAAGTGGAAATCACTGGAGAAAGTTCATTCGGTTTCTCGACAGAACCTTATACTTTCAGAGTAGTGACAACTACGCAATTTGGTATTTTGTTGGCCAGTCGAACGATACTACATTGGCGAAGCAGAAAGCTAACGCTGAGATTCGAGCGTCGGTGAGTCCGTTTCGAAACTCAACGCAAGTGGAGGCATTCTTGACAGTCAGCCTTCGTTGCCATAGATTTCCACAAAAGCGATTTGTAACCTGCAGTTTGACGATTGCACCCATTGCAAATCGGCTTCTGGGAACTCGATGCACCAAAGCTTGAGGGCAAATACATCTTCATGCAGCACCATTCCCATGCTAAATTTAAAATAAAAGGGTGGACTGTTTATTGCTGTAAATCTCATTCGAAATGCTCAGGTTGGAGTTATCTTCCGGGGTGGATGTTTTTCGTGTGATGGATGGGCCCGTCGAGGAGAGCTTTAGAAAAATATCACCTTTAATATCCAGAAATGTTCGACAGTGAACGCTGAGACTCTTGATAAACCTCATGCCTCCTACTGCCACTCATTAAGCATATCAGGTGCCACAGTCCGCGCTGCACGCCACACGGCCAGCCATGATCGCGAGAGCTAGAGGCAAAAAGTGGAGCACGATCAGGCGTATGGCTGGTGACACCTAACTAGTAGTTCAGAGTAAGCTGAGAATTTTGCAGATGTTGGAAGCGTTGACGGCTGCCAACATGGCCATGTACGGTGTTGAAGTTACGAACGACTTCATGCCTGTTCAGGTATGTATTACTATTTATCCTTCCGAGTACTACAGTTGTCGGCTGCACTGATACGGTGAAGCCATTTATTGTAAGCCTGCCCTTCGTCATACCCAGATGTTTCAGTTTCATAGCAAACAGACTAGAATTTAGATAGAAAACCCAACGACGAATCTGAAAGGTGTTGGGCCAATTTACGGAAAAGTCGAAGCAGGTGCCGTCACACAGACATCCCCTGGAGGCACAGGTGAGAGCTTTGGGCTTTGGAAGGAGTCATTTTGGATCTTCAAGCGAGTACATTTCAGCGGATTTCGTGTTTCACACTTACACGGTGGATATGAAGGTGACCTTGCACAACGTAGCCAATACTCGCTACAAATGGAACATCGTCAAGAATACGTTCATGCAGAAGCTTTCACTGAACTTCGGAGCACGTTTCAATGGCGAAGTGACCGTTGCAAAGTTCTAGACTCGAGATCTTGACGTCTCTATCAACAGCTCTATTTATCGAGTATGCATAAATTATTATATTTCAATAACCCTTCTATTGTACTTTGTAGAAATTCTGCTGCGAAAATTCAGTGGCGCTTGGACTGTGTTGATGTACCTTTCTCCTGATGCTGTTTATACAGTCCCATTCGCCAAGGACGATGGACAGTGTCAGGAGGATGGTTTCAGTGCGCGTCAGCCCAATAATGGTGGAAGCCCACAAGAGACAAAGTTGCTGGAAAGCTAGCCGGTGCCACGCCAAGCCCAGTTCTCCCCTCCCCCTCCCACCGCCCGCTCCTAGCACGCCCAGGTGCAGCGAAAACGACTTCAGATAGATAGCAGACACCTTTGTTGCTATGAGTAGTCACAATCGCCCTACGAGGCTGAGGGAACCTTCCTTGACAACTTTTACCTTCTTTTGGGATTCATTCTATGTATGAGTCTTTACTTCGCACGAAAGCGTTCCGGAAAAGCGCCCCAATGCTGAGAGTTTTCTTTGTGGCGAAACTCTGCCCCCAGACAGACAGAGGACAGCGGCTGCCAAAGCATCGAAACGTGCAGGAAACATGTAGCAAACCAGGAAACGGGCTTTTTCAGGGGAGGGGACTCCAGGGTGGGTGAACCACTTATAATCCGTGAAAAGCTGGAATGTGCGAAGTCACAACAACCACAGAGTGCCATGCGGACGAGAGAGTGCAGAGAAAAACAGAAGATCGACGCGTTCAAAGGGATTGAGTTCAAGTTGTCCGTAGACCCAAGCGACGGGGCTTGTGAAAGGGCGTGGTTAGGATTGCAGGTGGAACAATCTTAACTGCCAGTCGTTGCGGACTCAGAAGGGAATCGCTGATGGAAAGGACTGTGTTGTCACCGCTCTGATCCACGCCCTATAGTCTGCGAGATTATGGCTGTAGAGGTGAGGATGGAATGTGTGTTGCGCATTCGATGTCGGTGAATGTGATACGAGCTAATCACCTCAAGTTCCATCTACCTAAAAGCCATGGTGACTCATTGTTTCATCACCCATCATGTCGGCTGGTGAGTGGCCAATGGTTGGCAAATAGCTCATTTTCAAATCCCGGTACGACGCTCCTTCAGATAAAGTTGGAAAGGTTCATAAGAATCATGTACAATTTGGTAGCGATGTGAAGACGGAGCCAAAAGTTCGTGCAATTTCTCCTGCACCTCAGCCTCATGAGGTAGGAACGTATATCAACATTTTTTTCCATAACAAGAACAGTAGAGATGTCCAATAGATGTACGATCATGACCTGCGAATGATAGGGCGGCCAAGGCATATTTCCCACCAATTGTAGAAGGTTCAAGAGGGCATATTTGCTGGATGAAATGAACCCTGGCTGCGCTAAAATCTGCGCTCCGTCGCGCGCATTATTCTTTGCAGGGATCATGTCTGTATATAGCGGTGAGGTAAGAAATATAGTGGAATCTGACCTGATGGATTCCTAAAAGCCAGAGCCCCAATCAAAAAAAGCTGGAAAATTATTGCTATCAAAATGTGCTTGTGTGGCAAAAAATCACTTCAAATCTGATCGTGGACTATATTCCCCATACTAATAGCTTTCTGAAACAGACAACTATAGATCCAAAAACACAACTCATTTCTAGGTAACAGCCCCACCGCCGTCGATGCCGTTTGCAATAAAGGACGAAGTAGAACTTCTTCGTGCTGGGACTCTGAATAAGCATGGCGATCGGGTGAAGTCACAAGCAGCACCTGTTGGTGGTACTAATGCAAAATGATCTCTATCGCTTGGTTCTCATATAAAATTATCGATTGATGTATAAAACGTTCGTTGTCGGGTTTTCATTTCTTCCGTGCTTTGAACCAGCATTTGAAACACTTACAACAGAGGGTTAGAAAACATACAGTAACAAGTCTTTGCATTGAAATTCAAATAAATAATGAACTAACTTCGTGATAACACATCGTATGATGGAAATGTAACGTTCGGTCAGAAGGGGTGGTTGCGTGACAGGATTCCCACTCAGTTCAACTGGTCCGGAGCCCTTCCTGTATGCTAGGAAAGCTACAAATTACGAGTCTCCTTCGCTGGCCGAATACCCTGCTCTGCTGGGATTCTCCAGGGTACCAAGTGCCGTGATCCAGCCACTGCATGGCCACTGAGCACAATTGGCACGATCAATTCCCTCAAGGCGCAGGACTAATACGCCTAGCAGAGCTGAATTCGGCGTCGCTGAGCAATCGCTGAGTGGTGCTCTACCCAAGGAAGGTGCCCTCGTAGCGCCCTATAAAGGCGCAACATTCCGACTCAAACGCTCGCTGCGCCCACCCCGCCCACAAATGGACGGGAGAGGGTCGTCTCTGGTCGTTGGAGAAGGAGGGGGGGGGGTTGTATGGGCCTTCAAGAGAAAATGGCAGCGTTGGGGGAAAAATTTTCATGGTTGTTGACTTCTCGCGTGATTTTTACTGTTTTAGTGTTATGTCGCACAGTATTGGGAATGGATAAATTCTTTGTGACCCTCTTATATGTATGTGCTCGCGGCTCTGAATGAGAGCCGCTAGCTTCTCATTCAGAGCCGCGAGCACATATAAGAGGGTCACAAAGAATTTATCCATTCCCAGTACTGTGCGACAGCTTAAGAGGATTGTAGCTTCACGGCTTCTTAGTTACGTAACATCCTAGTTGCTTGAGATTGACTTCAGAATTTCCTAACTTCATCAATAGTGGAATAGTCTCGGATCGTTGCCAGCTCGAGTCGCTTCATTTCATTTCACTTTGATTAGTTTGATATCTTCTTGATATACTGAGTGAGCGTATTTTCCTAGTTGATATATCGTTGTCGTCTGTTCCCAGAAAGTTTTTTCGTGATGTTCTTTGTTTGTTGTTCTCTCACGTTTGCCTTATGCAGCGTAATAAACATAACATAATATAACATATGTACCCCCCCCTCGACAGAAAAACTTTGGGTGCTGGGAAACGTGAGAAATTGGTGGGTAGTATCGGGGAAGGGGAGGAGGTCGTTTCTACACCACCATTTCACACATCACGATGCTGGAAGCAGAGATTCCCAATGCCCCTGCTGGTGAAAAACACCCATTTTCTAGGCTATAAGGCGCGTTTCGATGTGACGCACGCGGTAAGGCGCACGAAATAGCAGAAAATTTGTTGTCTCTTTCGCATACTTCAGTCTTCCAGTCGGGTTAACAACTTTTATTCAATATGTATAATTGATAGGACTAAGAAAAAACAAAAAATAGGCCAAACGAAACTGGAAGGGAACGCTCGCGCTGATTGAAGCGGAGCTGCGCCTCACACTCCAGAAAGACGAGTTATAACAAGGAAACCCATAAGCCCACAGCAGGCATCAACACCGACAGCGTCCTAGCGGTTATTACTGGACAAAAACCGCTGACAGGACTAATTTTTACAACAAGCGATTGCTACAGAATCACAATTGTCAACATTTCAGTAACAATGACATAAAACCTTGAAAGGATGGCCGGAAACACAATCTGACTGATGCTCATATCGATTCAGTCGGCTGATTCCCGAATAAAGTAGAAATCCAGAAGAGGTTCGCCGAAGATGAGCCTGAGGTTGCACAGATTTTTTTACCCAACAGCTCACTGTATTACATCATCTCATCTCATTGAAAACGTGGATGCTTTTAGTCAAATGAAGCGAATCGGAAAAAAGATTAAAAAGTAATATTTCAGTTCACTTGAGTAGATTCGTTTTCCTCAATGACCCGCACACAATTCAGAGAGCGTATAGACACCTAGCAACTTCATTTCTTGGCGGTCGATGAATAGCGCTCGCCGCTGGACGGTGCCTTCAGCTGACAGGAACAAATGAAATCGTACGACAGTGAGTCGAACGAGTGAGCTCATTGAATTCACATTTCAGCATTGAATGGTTACTTGGAGTTACTGAAGTGTGACGAGCACTGGTGGCCTTCTTGTAGTTGTGGGGAACCATCCATCTGTCGACCTGATCCATGAGGGACCGCAATATACACCGGCAGTGGCACTTTTCTTTTTGGATAGAGCCGCTCTAAAGCCAGTGCAGAACTCTGTTGCAGTAACGGCCCGCTTGAGCCCACGTAGCTCCTCATAGCAGAATTGGGGCAGTTTCTTATCGGGATACAGGCCAACGCTTGCGAGTTTCAAATCGGAGTACAAGAACGGATCGCAGTTAAAGGCAGCGCCCACGTTCATTTATTGTTTCCACGCCCTCTTTGTACATATCGTAGCTCGCTCTATGAGGATGGTAGACGTACTAGTTTCGCCACTCAAAAACGAGAGAGTCGCTCGTGGAGAGTCGGCCACCCCGCCCACCTGGCGACCACTACTACGCCCTACTTCATTTCTAATGGTTGCCTGATGGTGCGGTTGTTCTGCTACTAACTCTCTCCACTTCGAATGGTGAGAGTGAGGTGATAAGGGAAAACAGCTGATACCAACAAGTGAGAACTCGTGCGGCCGCGCCTTCTCTTCGCCTCAAGCACGTACAACCTCAGCTCGGCGTGGGGTCCTATATAGGGCATATCCGATAATTTTTTTGCATTTTTCTTCACTAATGAATTATTTGCTACCTTGTTGTCACTGTCTGAGCCCCATAACTGATCAAATTGAACGCGGGCGCTGCCGTTAACCAAAATATTATCATCCAATTCACCTAAAGCTCTAACTTTCCGAATGTGAATAAATACTTACGAAATGTTTCACCTTGCTGACTAAACTAGCTACATCCCTCCTCTCCCCACTCCCTGGTTCCTCTAGGCAAGGATGCGCTACAGAAGGTCCAGGCAGCAAGCACAGCTATTACACACCCTGAAACCATTAGGTGGGCGGACAACTCTTGTCATACTCCTGGTTTTTCTTTCCTGTCATCTTTTTGAAAACTGGCTTTCTTTTCATAGAGTTTCTGCCTATTTTTGCGTGCCCTCTGGATGCCATCGCTTCACAAAGCAGGCAGGCGACTCAAATTTTACACACTATCTCGATTTTGACGTGGGGATCCGATCGTGAAGCAATTCTTGTCAATTAGTTCAGGAGACAACAAGAAGTTGCAAGAGGCCATGTCCGCGCTGCACCGACGTAAAGGGCGAGCCATCCAGCGCTATGCATGAGATTCGTTTCAACCAACTTTGAAAGGTCTGTCGTGATAAAGCCATACTGTTGGACAAGACCTTTCCGTCTGATAGACCATTCGCTGCGGACCTGCCAGCTGCTTTGCGTGAGGAGTCATCAAGGGAGCAGCTTCTTTATCCAGTAGTTTAACGAGCAGCAGCTCCCTCAAGCTGTGCACATGGACATAGAAACCTCACTTCGTTTTCAGAGCTGTAGGCTCCGGTAGACTCTCCGAAAACTGGGGGTGTCGTTCTTATTCAGCTCTTTTCAGCTTTCCATGCTCAAGCCAAGATGGTGGAAGAAAAAAGTTATTTCGAGGGTCGGTGCTGACGGTACGCTTATTGCATAAGAATAAGAGGTACTTGCAGGAAAAGCATTTTCTTGAGCACTTTTCGTATTAATCACATTTACTCGAAGTATAGGCAAGTATTTTGAGAAAAAAAGATCTATTACAGAACTTTCTCGCCGACCTAACCGCTATTCTGATGGTACTACAGTTTTAACCGAGATTCAAATTTGGCTGACTTACCGAGAAAAGTCCATTGGATGGCCGGAGATAAACGACGATCTCGTACAGTGAAATGTCTCCGTCTTTCGTTTCTGTGGCATCATGAGTCTGAAAAGGATAACCACAGTTATACAAGTTATTGCTGGTGATTTTTTAGGCTTGGAATGATGGTCTTCTTTTGCCAACATCCCATACCTATAAGATACCCCTACATGTTGATTACTTTCGGTCAAATAAATCAGCATCATCTAAATCAGCATCATCTAATGTATAAGCCGCATTTCCGCATTGCGTTACGCCAATTATGAGTTCCCCTAACTCCCATTGCTGTGTTCCTTTATACTTCAGTAGCTCAGTGGTACAAACTTGTAAAATAATAACGGGCGGATTCGGCAGTCTCTTTTCGTACAGTCTCATTAAACCTAAGAAGTGACATTTAGTCACCTGCGAAGCAAACAGCGATAATCACTTACCGAATAGTAGGACTGTTTTCTGCACTTTCCACCTAATCCTTCATTTTCTAGCAGCTTATTTAACTCCTCTGCGAGGAACTGACCAGCTT